GAATGGAAATGGCATTTAGTATTTGGTGAACTTTGGTTTTTTTTAGATAGAAGCTTAGGGATTGTTCTCAATTTTGTTTTCCTATAATTTTTTTTCATAAAGAAATTTTCATAAGGATCGGCCAACTATATCCGATTTTAACTGCAAGGGTATATCAACTTCGGATCCGGCCGATCTTTAGCTTTCCTTTCTTGTTCAGGTTTATTTATATTTGGAAAACAAATTTCAGCCAAATCCGTCACTTTTTAGAGGAGATATACCCATTTATACACCGAAACCAGACAAAAGTGTTAGAATTTGGAACGCGTGGATCTCAGAGACTACAATAGGTAGAACTATCCGATTTGCATCTTAAGCCTAGTACTCTGACGACTAAAATCCGCTGACGACTAAAAATTAGCGAAATCGCTCTTTATTTGGCTACCGAGCTAGTGTGACCAAAAAAATTAAGGAAAAGGGTAATACTGAACAGCTGTTGTTTGTAAACAAAAAACAAATAAGCAAAAATGAATTCAAACCGATTGGATTTTGGTGTTTTCTTTATGTATTTCGCCGCTAAGGAGCTGATTAAGAAAAAGAAAACTGGGTCAAAAAATAAAACCAAAATCTATCACAAATCATTTCAATGTCATTATACCCTTGCAGAGGGTATTATAATTTTGTCCAAAAGTGTGCAACGCAGTGAAGGAGACATCTCCGACCCTATAAAGTATATATATTCTTGATCAGGATCACCTCCTGAGTTGATATGAGCATGTCCGTCTGTCCGTCTGTCCGTCTGTCCGTCTGTCTGTCTGTCCGTCTGTCTGTTTCTACGCAAACTAGTCTCTCAGTTTTAAAGCTATCGTCTTGAAACTTTGCACACACCCTTCTTTCCTTTGCACGCAGTATATAAGTCGGAACGGCCGGGATCGGCCGACTATATCTTATAGCTGCCATATAACTGATTGATCGGAAATGGTATAACTTTGGTGTTTTTAGAGTTAGAGAGTTCAAATTTGACATGAGAGCTATTTTTGGCAAAATAATACGACATGCCAAATTTCATAAGGATCGGCCGACTATATCTTATAGCTGCCATATAACTGAACGATCGGAAATGACCCAACTTTCGTGTTTTTGAAGATAAAAAGCTGAAACTTAATACAGATTCTATTTTTGGCCAGTTGATCCAACCTACCAAATTTCATTAGGATCGGCCGACTATATCTTATAGCTGCCATATAACTGAACGATCGGAAATGGTATTTGGTAGAAATATCAACTTTCGTATTTTTGAAGATAGAAGTTTGGGACTTTTTTTAGATTTTTTATTTTAGTTAATTAGTTTTATTATGATGTAATCATAAGGATCGGCCAACTATATCTGATGTTTGCGATATATATCCGGTTTTAACTGCAAGGGTATATAAACTTCGGCTCCGCCCGAAGTTAGCTTTGCTTTCTTGTTTTAAATTTTGTATTATAATAAATTGGGTTATATAATCATATTCTCATAAGGATCGGCCAACTATATCCGATGTTTGCGATATAAATCCGGTTTTAACTGCAAGGGTATATCAACTTCGGCTCCGCCCGAAGTTAGCTTTCCTTTCTTGTTTTATGGCATTAAAATGCCCCTTGTGGGTCGAATCCCATATTATGGGCTTCGCCCTGACCGCACTAATTAGCTTGACTTTATCCTTTATTTAATTTTTCGGTGCGACAATTTTTTTATACCCTTGCAGAGGGTATTATAATTTTGTCCAAAAGTGCGCAACGCAGTGAAGGAGACATCTCCGACCCTATAAAGTATATATATCGCGTATCTGTTTCTACGCGAACTAGTCTCTCAGTTTTAAAGCTATCGTCTTGAAACTTTGCACACACCCTTCTTTCCTTTGCACGCAGTATATAAGTCGGAACAGCCGGGATCGGCCGACTATATCCTATAGCTGCCATGTAACTGAATGATCGGAAATGGTATAACCTTGGTGTTTTTAGAGTAAGAGAGTTCAAATTTGACATGAGAGCTATTTTTGGCAAACCATTACGACATGCCAGATTTCATGGGAATCGGCCGACTATATCCTATAGCTGCCATATAACTGAACGATCGGAAATGACCCAACTTTTGTGTTTTAGAAGATAGAAAGCTGGAATTTAATACAGGTTATATTTGTGGTCAGTTGATCCAACCTACCAAATTTCATTAGGATCGGCCGACTATATCCTATAGCTGCCATATAACTGAACGATCGTAAATAGTATTTGGTAGAAATATCAACTTTCGCATATTTGAAGATAGAAGCTTGGGACTTTTTTTAGATTTTGTATTTTAGTTAATTGGTTTTATTATGATATTCTCATAAGGATCGGCCAACTGTATCCGATGTTTGCGATATATATCCGGTTTTAACTGCAAGGGTATATCAACTTCGGCTCCGCCCAAAGTTAGATTTCCTTTCTTGTTTTATATGGAGTTCGGCCGCTGTGAACACGTGGGACAGCGGATTTTCGTCGTCAGAGTACTAGGCTTTAACATCAAAATCGTGTCAAAATTTTGACACATTCCCAAAAATTAAATTTTGTTATAGAGCCAGTTCAAACCAGTTTTCGATATATTTTTAACAAATTAAAATTAAGCCTAATCGGATAACTTTTGAAGGATTTATTGACATTTTATTGTTCTGCCCTACTGATTTTTATACCCTTGCAGAGGGTATTATAATTTTAGTCAAAAGTGTGCAACGCAGTGAAGAAGACATCTCCGACCCTATAAAGTATATATATTCTTGATCAGGATCACCTCCTTAGTTGATATAACCATGTCCGTCTGTCTGTTTCTACGCGAACTAGTCTCTCAGTTTTAAAGCTATCGTCTTGAAACTTTGCCCACACCCCTCTTACCATTGCACGCAGTATATAAGTCGGAACGGCCGGGATCGGCCGACTATATCCTATAGCTGCCATATAACTGATTGATCGGAAATGGTATAACTTTGGTTTTTGAAGATAGACTGAAACTAAGTACAGATTCTATTTTTGGTCAGTTGATCCAACCTACCAAATTTCATTAGGATCGGCCGACTATATCCTATAGCTGCCATATAACTGAACGATCGGAAATGGTATTTGGTAGAAAAATCAATTTTCGTATTTTTGAAGATAGAAGCTTGGTACTTTTTTTTTAGATTTTTTATTTTAATTAATTGGTTTTATTATGATGTAATCATAAGGATCGGCCAACTATATCCGATGTTTGCGATAAATATCCGGTTTTAATTGCAAGGGTATATCAACTTCGGCCCCGCCCGAAGTTAGCTTTCCTTTCTTGTTTTCAGTGGCTTTGCCCCGTGCACAAAAGTTTGCAACAACATTTTTTTCCTGAGAGAAATGAAAGGTGTGAAAGGGTGGGAGAAAGAAATAAGAACTGGGTACAATAAAGTTGGGAAACTTGACATTTTAACTAACCTTAAAAGTCCAATCAAAATTTTCCGATTTGGCTTCATTTAGATTTGTACGTGTAGATTAACCATTGGAATAGTTTGGCATTAAAACATTAATGAACTGGCGCTACAACGAGATTCCTTTTTTTCGCAAGCGTGGAAAAATGTTGATACCAACTTGATCTTTGCGGTTACCTAACGAGCACAAGTTGCAAATCTTATAATCTTCGAGAACAAGGCACGTTTTTAACCTTTTAACACGTTTGTATAGGAATTGGTCTCTTCTAAAAGTCGGCATATTTTGCTAAAATTTCAGATAAAAATTTTTTCGAAAAATCTTCCTCTACTGGCGCTACAGAAATTTTCAATTTGTAAAGGCGTTAGGGGGCGTAGAAAAAAATATTAACTTAACTTGAACTGCGTGAGTATTATGAGCCACATGGGTATTATGAGCTCTATGTTGCCACACGACAAAATTATTTTGACGCAGCTCCCAGATTTATTTCAGCATGTGTCTCTCTTTACTTATAGAAGTTATGGGATCCATTGACGTAATTTAAGAGATTATGCGTGATATGTATGTAGCTATTTTGTTAATATATGGGTTAAACATGAGAGCTACGCTAAATTTATCGAAACGAAATAAAGTCGTACCATGCAGGAGTTCCGGTCCAAAGCCTCAGCAAAGTTCAAAAAGTACCCCGGCCAACAATTAACTATAAATTTATGAAGCACAAGTTGACTAATGTACGGATTTTCCACTGCATCATGTCACGAGTTTTTCTGACTACCATAGTTAAACTCTGGTACTGAAGATTACTTAAAGACATTCTGAAACAAATTACACCCGTACCTCACCCCATACCAAATGGAGGCAGCAGTGTAATGTTTTGGGAATGTATCTGCTTTAACTAGATCGCTGATTTGGTACCCATCAAGAGCATGATAAATCAAGGAAATTATTTACGCATCTTAAATAAATATAGATTACTTTCCGAGGACAGACTCATTGGAAAAGACTTTATCCTGCAACAGGATATTTTCCACGCAATAAAGAAAAAATGATTACGAAGTTTTTAGGAAACTTGGAACTAAAATCATTAGATTGGACACCCTAAAGTTCGGATCTTAACATTAAAGAAAAGGTCTTACGGTCTTACATATAGCACAAGAGGAATCCAAACATCGTCAATTTCTGAAGTTGAAAGACTTTGGCAGAAATTTTCACAAGAAACGCTTCAGAACTTGGGAAAAGGATATTATTATTTTGGTGAAAAGGCAAAAAAGAAGACATCTCCGACCCTATAAAGAAAATATTTTCTCGATGAGAATCACTTTCTTAAAATTCTCATTAGGACAATATTTGCGATTTATATCAGATCTTAACTGTAAGGGTATATCAACTTCGGCGCTGGCCGAAATACTTAAAAAAAAAAAATATGTCCACTATTGTATAAAAAATAAATCCTTGTTTATAGACTCCATAGAAAGCAAATTACAAGTCATTTTACCAAACTTGTAGACCTGTGTTATATATACTTACATATTTTAATGTTTTATTTTTTAACTTACTTGAAAAATTTCTGGTAGCTAGCATCGTTGTAAGTATGGCTCCCTTAAGTTTGCGCCGTGCATTGAACTTTTTAAGACAGTCTACAGTTTCTTGACGATGTACAACAGACGCAACACGTTCTCTTTGCTGGAAATAAAATGTTCTTTTTAATGTTTTTTTTTTATGTATAGTAGGGTTGTAATACTAACACAAATCCATGGATGCTTCAAAGCCTCGGCAGCAGTTATTCTCTTGTTTGGATTTACAGTTAACATTTGGTTAATAAGATTTTTAGCTTCCGGCGTGACTGTATCCCATTCTGGTGAGGGATACTTAAAAAAAAGACATAAGCATCGAAATATACTAATTAGTTTCGGTGAAGTATTTTTAAACTACGTACGTCATAAGCTCCTGCTTTTATCTGTGAGTACAATCTATGTTGATCTTCATCCCAGAATGGTGGATAACCAACCAAAAGTATGTAGAGAATAACTCCTGTGGGTAAAACAAAATAAATAAGTTTCTAAATTATATCAAATTATGTTCGGTCTGTGGTTAGGAAAAAGTTTAAAATAAAAAAAAAATACAATTTTATTCTTAGAAACTTAGAAAATGTTCAATACTCACCACATGCCCATATATCTACCGATTTTCCATAGGGCTCCTTTTTCAAAACCTCTGGTGAGAGATAGCCGGGTGTGCCAGCAAATCCAAACCATGCTTGATGATCGCCTTGAACTTCAATGGCAAGGCCAAAGTCAGCTAGTTTAACAGCTGCACCCTTTGCCTTACTTGCTAATAGTAAATTCTCTGGTTTGAGATCTCGGTGCACCACACCATTTTGATGGCAGTGATTGACTGATTCCAATATTTGTTGAATACAATGCGATGCATCCGCCTCTGAATAAAACTCACGTGCGACAATATCTTCGAAAAGTTCACCACCAGTTACGCTAAAAATGTATAAATTCAGGTGAATTTAATAAAATTAAAATTTATGTTTTTTTTTAACAAGAAGGGACTATAAGAGTCAGGACTTGACAAAATATGTCTTGGCTAACTTCTGCGGGCGAATCCGAAGTTAAAACCAGATAAATATCGCAAACAAAACTATATCGAATATAGTCTGTTGATTCTTATTCTTCATTCATAAACCGGTTAAGACAAGGGCAGCTAGGGCTAATTCTATAGCTCTCTATCTATTCTATAGGTATCCAAAATTTGTATCTTAATTCGTTGACCACCGCCTCGTGGTTAGCGTGTAGAAATCTTCGGTGAAGTTCCTTTATGATAAGCTGCGTGATGTGGCTGTCGCAAGGGAGTACGACGCGGTCGTTTCCCTTGATCACCTTAGCATTTTCATCCAGTTTTAATACTCCATCTGAATCCATATAGGGTCCGAGCTTGTATAGTAGGTTATTCTTGTTTAATGGTTTTCCTTTTAAAACTAGTCGTATCTCCGTCTGGTAGGCATCGTGATCGCTTAAGTTCTGTCGGTAAACTATCCGGCAGCTTGTCATCTTTATACCTCCAAAGCAGACCTGTTTCAAATCGACCATTTATACGCCTCGTATTCATCTCCAGCGGCTGTATAGCCAACTGGTCATTATTGGATAGGCTCTTGCTATTCTTCTCCGGTCCAGGGCCGCCGTCCGACCACATGCACTGCTCAAGCAGGCGCAAGATCTCCTTGTTCTCTTCAGTTTCATAAGCACATATGTGAAGCACGTGGTAGTTTGAGATTATGGCTTCACCCACACTGTTGGAGCTTCTTCCTTTAATCGTCCACCCCAGACGAGTCTTCTCAGCGATCGGTCCTTTGTTGTGCCTTCCTTGGTGCGAAGCACGCACCCTAATCTGCAATTATTGAGACCTATCAGAAGCCTGGGCAGTGCTGAGTCGTATCCGTACAGTGGTAGATGTCGAAGGTGTCTGTGCTGTTCTTTAAGGTGGGATATTTTTAACGACTGCGACGGGAGATCAAGAGACTTGACCGAGTGAACGTCGCGGAGATTATATAGCTTCGCTTGGCCACTGCCGGAGATCCTTAAGTCTAGTCTGACCGAGGTATCCTCATACCGGTGCATGCCGGCAGTCCACTGCATATATAGAGGCTGCGGTTGTCCGTTGACTCCAAGGTGAATAGCATTTCCAAACCATCTTGTTCGGTATTCATGGCTCCTGGCTTGGACGGGATCCATGCTGCCGCGATGAAACAGGGGGTGGTGGCGTTCTAGGCATTCTTCTATTCCGCAAGGATTGGGGACGCCGAATTTTTTCACCTTGTGGCTCTGGAAACATCTCCAGCACAAGCCACACCTTCGGGTCGCATTCCAGCAATCGCGGGTCGATTGGCGCACAGTGTGTGTATGTACCGTGACGAGCTTGGGACTATCACATGGCTCGCTCCTTCTGCCATCTGCGGTAGCCACGTACTAAACTCTGCCAAAGTACACACTGTTAGGGAGGCTTTGTGCATTCCCCAAAACGTCTGCACCATCGATGGCAACTTGCTCACTAGCTCCTGCGTAAGCGCTGGGTTGTTTAAGTACTGGTCCAACTTGGAGGCTTTCATCGTAGCGCAAACATTTTGCACCTCCACCGAGATGACAACCAGCATTTCAAGCTTATTCTCCTTCACTTGGGAAAATTCTTTAATCCTTGTCACTAACAAGTCAATGATAATTTCGGGTCGCCCAAATCGCATTCTCAGCGTGGCGTTATCTGCGGAACACATCCCGCATGCAGCATTAGACTTTGAACTGCGTTCTTGGCTGGTCCTTCCAACGCATGCCGAAGCCTCATCAGATTCTCGGCATTCGTAAATCCGCATATCTCCGTCATCTGTTCATACATTGCGATGAACAAGGGCCAGTCCTCCGGCATTCCGGAAAACTTCATCAACTCAGCCACATTTGTCTTCCTCCCTCTCAATTGTTCGTGAGATGGTCTGCCCACAGGTTATATGACCTTAGCGACTGAGTTGTCCTTCCCACTGGTAGAAAAGGGGGAAACAAGGGTGGGCGTACTACCGTTTCCTTCAACAACGGCAACTTCACCAATTATATCTGTACGAGCATTCTGGTACCGTGTACTGGATGCTCCAGGCATCTTCTCTGCGTGACCAGTATCCGATAGCCTCTCCCTTGGGAGCTTGCACATGAGCACCTTTCGCCTATGTAGAAGTTGTTGTTGCAACTGCAACAGCTGATCTTCTTCCTCCAACAACCTTAGCTCTGTTTGCAGGTCCTGCGCTTCCCACGAGACCTCGTTGACGTCATTGGTTCCGATCCTCTTCTGGTCGACACCTGAGTAACTCTCGTAGTTGTCCCCAACCGTCAAGCTGGTCAGCGTTTCTGTAGTGATCAACGGCACGTGCTCACGGAGTCGTCCCCGATACAGCATACAAATTTTACAAATACAAATTTTCGAAATATTGCCGGTCTTCGAAGTTTGTAGCGGCGCCCCAGTAAAGTCACCCGTGTTGATGCTGATGAGTGTTTATTGGTTTTCTTTATTTATAAGCCGGTAAAGGCAAGGGCAGCAAGGTACAGTCGGTAACCACTGTTAACCACTCCAAGCAGTGATATGCACTTTAAATTTCTAGTAAATTAATAAATGTACAATTCATAATCAAATTTCTATGAATCTTTTCATCCGCTTCCCTCGAATGTCAAAGTAGAAAAGAAAGCTTGGGCACATGGTTACCTCATTTCTTCCACCTACACGTTAACTAACCTTTAAAGTTTAAACTTTAACAGATTGGATTCTCAGCAACCATTTTATTTAAGCTTGCTTTTTGTTATTCAATAATCGCTTTTCAAGTCTAACAAGACGAGTATCGCGTGTTAAATTTTTAACTTAACTAACAGTCATATTGACTGATACAGAGTTAGACGACCCCGAAATAAACGACCCTATCGATTGCTGGGTTGGGAGGTTGTTGCGACGCAGGTGAGATCCGCAGGTGAAATGGAAACCCAAGTCAATCCCCGATGCAAGGATGCGATGGGTGCGAGGGCAGTTTTTCTTTGTAGGACACTTTTTGGATCTGGATTTCATCTTTTACTGCCGGGATATTCGTCTATCGAGGCGAACTCCAAAGTACGTTATTTCGTTAGCTTGAGGGATCTGCATACCGTTTAGTGAAAGCGGAGGGCATGTTTGTCTATTAAGAGTAAAAGTTACATGTTAACACTTTTGATCGTTTATTTTAATGGACCAGTCGGCCGGCAACCTTTTCACTACTCTAAAATGATTAGGTAGTTGGTTTGTTGCTTGGGTTGGGCATCTGAAGCGACTAAGGATAGCGGTATCGTCGGCGAAAGTTGATGTTGTTAGTAGTTCGTTGGAATATCCGGAGTATACAAAACATATAGACAAGGGCCGAGTGCGTTTTCTTCTGAAACTCCATCTTCGATGATGTAGTCGCCCAAAAGTGCTGCTCACTGAGAATACCCTCAGTACGACATAGGTAGATATAATACGTAGAGGTACGACATAAGTAGTTTGTGGGTGTGCAACAATGTAATTTGCACGGAAGACACTTTGGAGATGTGTAGCGAATGTTTCAGCTTGGTCTTCGCCGCTGGGAGCCCAGCATCCCGAAGAGTTTCTTATCGGGGTGGTCGTTTCAATTGAGGCGCTAAGATTTTGGTGGGCCCTCCACAGAGGGTACTTTGTGCTTGTTGGCGAAAGATTCTGGATCTACGTAACTGCGTTTTCTTGCTATTGGTGAAGAGCCTGGTCGAGTGATCGGGTTGCTTTCTTAAGGCGTTGTTTTGAAACTGGTGATCTGCTGTTTTGCCAATCACGACGCGTGCTCTTCTTTTCTCGCTTGAGCTGTTCGATTTGCTGATGAGATTTGTAGTATTTTATTGGGTCTACTTCCTTCCCTTTCGATGTATAGTAGAGTGGTCCGAGTGGTCCAAGGTTTGGAACGTATTAGATCGAAAGGTATGTTTTTAACTAGGCATCCACGTCTCCTTCAGACTTCTTGATCACTGCAGCGTCTGCCAGGCTGAGGTGATGGCAATTAAAGAAGCACTAAATCACCCTAAAATATCAGGCCGCACCAACGGTTAAGTCAAGATTTACAGCATCAGCCAAGCGGCCATAAAATCGATTAAATCGATTAAAAGCAACTCAAAAACAGTTTCAGCCTGTACATCATCTCTTTCCTAGATGCCACAACAGTATTACATCAGCCTTTTTGGTTCCCTGGCATAACAGACGAACTGGCTCGTATAGGCACCACCCCACCACTCCAGACCGAAGTGGAGAGTACTAGTATTCCCTTAGCCTCATACAAACTTCGACTCAAAGAAGCCATCAATAGCAAAAACAATTCAGTTGCCGTTTAGCGCGCCCACTTCGGGCTCTCATCTCAAATAAAAGAACATCCCAACTTCTGAGGATAGATGGTAGATAGAAATCGAAGTTGCAGATTCATCAGAGTCATCACGGGACTAGGCGAATGAATTCACCTCCTGATGAAACTGTAGAACATCTTCTTTGAAAGGCTGGACAGTGGCAATCTGTTAGACAGAAGCATCTGGAAAACAGATTCATCATAGACATCTTAGATGTTTCAGTCCTAGATCCCAACAGGATAAAAAAATTCACCACAGCCTCAGATAAGCGAACTGCTAGCCTAGCAATCTTCAGATTACGAAAAGATCCTACTACGGTATCATAAGTGATCGAAAATTATCTAAGTGTGTCGGCTCTTAGAACCAATTCTGTTGGAGGGTAAACATCGTAGCTTCCGTTTTTCTTTGTGGCTGTGTTAAGGCCTGTTGAGAGCTTTGTGAGTTAGGATGCATTAGATTTTCCATCCCAAATCGTAGAGCATCGCATAGAGGTCTTCTTCATCGAAGAAGACGTCTGGCATAGTTTTCGATGCCGTGTACATATTCTATGGTTTTTGATTGCGCGTTGCTGTCGCTTATCG